CGCTAACCTAAACATTAGATGACCCATCCACGAACAAGTCTGAGACTACTTCTGGGCCCATCTGGTCACTTAAACCTAGTTCTGTCAAAAATTGGGGTTGTTTCTCCTCTTCTGGAGGGGTAAACTCAGCTAAGAAATCAACCAACACCTGAGCCTTTACTGCTGTTCTTGGCTTATACTGAATGTTGAACTCTTCTAACTCTATTGACCACTTCATCAGTCGACCAGAGCTTTCTGGCTTGTGTAGGACCTGTCGAAGGGGTTGATCTGTTAGGACCACTATCGTATGCGCTTGAAAGTATGGTCTCAGTTTCCTGGCGGACACAATTAAAGCAAAGGCCAACTGTTCCATCCTTGGATATCTTTCCTTCACCCCTAAGTGCTCTGCTCATGAAGTATACTGGCCTTTGGACCCCTTCTTCTTCTCGTATCAGAGCTGAACTGACAGCTGTCGTGGAGACTGCAAGGTATATGTATAGTTCCTCTCCCGGTATGGTTCGAGACACTAGTGGGGGAGAACTAAGGTATTGCTTTAGTTCTTTGAACGCCTGCTTACACTCTGGGGTCCATTCCAACGCCTTCCTTAGCACACGAAAGAAAGGTAGAAACCTATCAGTTGACCGAGAGATTAGCCTACTCAAGGCAGCAATCTTCCCTATTAGTCATTGCAGATCCTTGGTTGATCTTGGCGATCTCATGTCAATGACTGCTTGGATCTTCTCTGGATTGGCCTCAATTCCTCTTCTGCTTACCATATATCCTAAGAACTTTCATGAGGAAACCCCAAATGCACACTTGCTGGGGTTGAGTTTCATCTTATGCCTCCTAAGTACCTCGAAGGTCTCCTGCAGGTCAGTCAAATGGTCTTCAGCTTTTAAGCTTTTTACTAACATGTCATCAACATATACCTCCATATGTTGCACCAGCGTTCTTGAGCCCAAACGGCATTACTTTGTAACAGTACAAACCTCTATCAATGATGAAGGCCATTTTTTCTCTATCTGAGATGTACATAGATATCTGGTTGTATCCAAAATATGCATCCATGAAACTTAATAGTTCGTGTCCAGCCGTTCCCTCAACGAGCATATCGATTCTTGGGAGAGGAAAGCTGTCATTCGGGCAAGCTTTGTTAAGGTCAGTGAAATCCACACGTAGCCTCCACTTTCCATTTGCCTTCTTCACTAAGACCACATTTTTCAGCCAGTCGGGGTAGTACACCTCGTGAATAAAGTCAACTTTTAAGAGCTTTTTCACCTCTTCTGATATAGCCTGATTCCTTTCTGGAACAAAAGTCCTCCTCTTTTGTCTGACAGGTTTAAAGTCAGGATTTACATTTAAGCGGTGCTCCATGATAGTGGGGTCTATACCCGGCATGTCTTCATGCAAATACGTCTCGATTCTTCCTGAGGAATTAAGTAAGTTCATCTTTGATACCTGGGGGGAGTAAAGACCCTATACTCACTTTTTTCTCAGGCTCACCATCACCAAGGATGACCTCTTCTAGCTCTTCTGTAGGTTCTGCTCTATGAAAGTCTGGTCTATCTTTCCCTTCCAGCCCTTCAATCGTAAATGCCTCTTGCGATTTTGTTTTCTGAGAGAGGCGACATAACATTCGTGAGCTATTGTTTAGTCCCCTCTTAGCTCTCCCATACCATATTCAGTTGGGAAACGCATCAGGAGATGGTAAGTGGACGTGATTGCTTTCATGGTATTCAATGTTGTCCTCCCCAGGATAAAATTATATGATGATGGGCAGTCCACCACTACAAAGTCCACCATTACAGTGACCTGCTTTGGATTGGCTCCTGCAGTAACTGGAAGGGTAACTGCCCCCAGTGGATATACTTTGTCGCCTGAAAATCCCACCAGTGGTGACTTCATGGGTCGGAGCTTCTCTCGGCCAATTTTCAATTTCTCATACGCCCTAAGAAATAGTATGTCAGCCAAGCTACCATTGTCTATTAGTATTCGTCGAACAGTGAAATTAGCAACGACCATGGAAACTACCAGAGGGTCATCATGGGGCTGGTGAATTCCCTTGTCATCTTCTTCAGAAAAGGTTATGACCGGCTCCTCAACTCAAGGTAATTTTGTTGGAGGACTTGTCATTCCAACTTCATTCACCTCTGAAAAACTCCGAATTCTCCTAGCATGAGCCCTCCGAGCTGAACTTGTCTCATCACCACCAGCGAAGCCACCCGATATAACTTTGATCTCACCTATTGGTTGGTGTTGAGGACGGCGATCATCTCGGCCCTCCCGGGCTGGGTTGGAGCCTCCTTTTCCATTTCTAGTTGTGAATTTGCGTAAATGACCTTTACGAACAAGGTTCTCGATCTGGTTTTTGAGGTCGAAACAATCTTCTATGTTATGTCCATGGTCCCGGTGAAACCTACAGTATTTACCTAGACCTCTTTGTTGGATCAGCTTTTAGCTTTAGCGGCCATTTCAATGATGCGTCATCTTGAATTTGCAGAAAGACTGGCTCTATAGATGTATTTAGGGGGTATAGTTATTATACCTGCCTGGGCTCACTCGGCGGCGAGACGATCTGTCAGCCTGGTTGTTTGAGAATTTCTTGTACTTCGATTCCTTTTCCTCCCTAGTGTTAGGTGCTGGCCTCTTCTTCTCCGACCTCTTATCTTCACCATCTTTGTTTTTTCGTGCATTCATAACATCCTCAGTGTTCATGTGCTTCCACGCTATAACCATCAACTCTGTCATGTTTGTAGGGGCTTCTTTTGATAAGGAAAATAGGAACTTAGAAGTCTGTAGTCCTCCCATAAAGGCTGTGAGGGCAACCTTGTCGTCCACCTCTTCTACCTGCAGCATATCAGCGTTAAAACGACTTATGTAACCACGGAGAGGCTTTCCCTTATGCTGTTTCACATTCAATAAGTGTGTTACTGTCTCCTATGCCTCTGCCCAGCGATGAAGTGTCCAATGAATTGTTTGCTCAACTTATTAAAGATTTCAATGGAGCCTGGCTTTAATTTATTGAACCAAAGACGAGCCCAACCTTTAGTGTGGTAGGGAAAACCCTGCACATAATCTCATCCGGTACGACTTGCAAATACATAAGAGCTTTGTAGGTCTCTAAATGATCGAGAGGGTCCCGCGTCCCATCGAAGCTCTCAAGAGTTGGCATCTTAAATTTGCTAGGTAGAGGACAACTCATAACATAACAACGAGGCTAAATGCTAGGTTGGTCTTCTGTACCAGATCGTTCACTGTGGCCTGGCCCTTCCCTTTCATTGCTTGCATGACGTCTTTGACCCTAGTTCTCAGATCTTGCATCTACAGATTGAAATAAGTGACGTCTTCAGTCTTGTCACCAACACAACCAGAGGTACCTGCACGGAGCCTGGTATTATTCCGTTCAAGAGACCGATGGTGATGGCTTCTCTGTTGACCCCCTATTTGACTAAGCTCAGCGTCGTTGTCAATCATACGGGAGTCATTATTGGGTACTTCATTATTCTCCACCTCATTAAGGTCGGCAAAGCGTTGTAGAATCATTGAATTTTTCTGGACTAATTGGTTCATTCCCTTATTTAAGGTTTAAACCTATTGTTCCAATGCTGTGACGCGTTCCTGATCATTTGGGACGGCGGGGGGTTGCCTTGTCGAGTCCCTTTGATCAGAAGTTTGCAACGCTTCGTATTCGCCAGCAACCAGACCAGATCGCAATCAAACCATACTTTATTTAGAGAACTAAAATCGTTCCCACAGACGGCGCCAACTGTTGATGATGGATTCTGCGCAACCCGGATCTGATCTAACTTCCTGGACAGAGAGAAGAAAAGGTGATCCTACAAGCACCGGTGTGTTACCGGTGGAGTAGGCTCCGACGAATAAGTCAGTGTGCGAACTAATCTCTTAAGAGAAATCAAGAACTTGAGTTAGGGTTTTTTGCGTACCTCCAAACGTTGATTACCCTGCCTTTTTTTATAGGGCTTAGGTTAAGATGTCACGTAGAATTACCTTATTGTAATCTGTAGACTTAATCCTCATCGTAATCTTTAATCCTTATCACAATCTTTAATCCTTATCGTAATCTGTAAAGCCTATCTCAATCTGTAATCCTTATTGTAATCTGCAGAGCCTATCTCAATAGTGCGTTAATTTAACAATCTTCCCTTAATTATGGATATTTAAATTATACATCCATCATTCCCCAATCGTGGGAATGAGCAAAGAGGAGAGAGAGGGAGGATCTTTTTTGGCAACGTTGTTAGATTATGGTAAATTTTCTTTAATTCAAAAGGGTGCAGTTTAAATTTTGGTAAATTTTTCTTATCTCAAAACGGTGCATTTTTAAGACTTTCTTTAAATTAGTTGACGTAATTTAACACCAACAGTAGATTGATTTTAAATGTCACGCGTCAATTCAATTTAAGATAACTTAGAGGATATTAACTTAGAGGATCAATTAATCCTACTTATTAATCTTTAACAATGATCCCATTGCCAGCTTCTTAGTAGGAGTAGATATTGGATTAGTTAATCTTACCGTATCATTAGTATGCCTATACATTCAAAATATAAGTGAAGCTTTTATATTTGTGTGGATCAATTTCATTGATAGCTTATTTTGATTTGGGTGGACATGCCAATCAGATTATATTTTCGACTCACTCAATACATTTTCCTCCTATGGAAGGGTTAAAACTTGCATCTTGTAGTCCTTACCATTATTTGTCTCCTTGATGTAACTTAGGGATGTATTTTAAAATAAAATAAAATTTAATTTATTATCTAAACAAAGACAAAATAGTATAATATTAGACATGAAATTCCAATTCTAAAAGGAATTGGTTCCAAACAGTGTATGTATGTGTGTGTGTGTGTATATATATATATGCCAAACGAGGATCAACACACTTCTTCCTCTACTTTGTCTCTTCCTCATAACCTTAAACCCTAAAAAGAAGAGACCGAGCGAATTGTAGAGTTCAGAAAGAGACACTCTAAAACAATTAATCAATCCAGTGGCAATGGCCAACATCCTCGAAGATTTGATAGTCGACATTCTCTCCCGACTTCCAGTGGTTACTCTGCTACGGTTCAGGTGCGTTTCTAAAAGATGGTATGCCCTAATTGACTCCCTTGACTTCCTCAATCTGCAACTCAATCAATCACTCACAACCAACACTAACCTCACTCTGATTTTTGAAAAAATGGAGGTCGACGGTCTCTATTCTTTAGGGTTTGACTCTTGATGATATCCTAAACGATGATCACTGGTGGATCCAGCGTAGGGCTGGGCTGGGTTCCAGCCCACCCCAATTTATTTATTTATTTAATTATTTAATTATTATTATTTTTTTACTATGTGTATTTTTAGCCCAGCCCCAAAAAAAAAAATTATTATTAATATTAGCCCACCCAAATAAGCCCAAGTCAGCCAAGCCACAATACTAAAATAAAAACCCAAGCCTAACAAGCCCTATTAATGATGAGTATTAGGATATGAAGTAAAACATATTTTGAGACAAATTTGTTGTAGAGGCCGTTATGAAATTATATATATAGAATACATTCATAATTTCAAAACTTTCAAATATATCATCATGAAAAATAAACAGAGCTCATTTGTTTATCTAGAAAGTATTCAACAAATAAACAAAAAAATCTATTGCATTATAAACTACGAAAATTTGATGATTTTGATCTCGAAGTAGACAAGGAGTATTAGTTAAAAGAAAACATCTAAATTCAATAATTCACAAATCAAAAGTTACTAACTTACTATAGATTTAGATAAAACAAATATAGATGGGTAAGTGTTAGAATTTCATATTGATTTATAAAATAAAACCACAAACAAAAATTACAATAATTCAATCTTTAAAACTAAAAAAACAAAATATGAAACGTGTTAAAACATAGCACAATGGGAGGTGAATTTCTTACTGATTGGATGATTGGGACCTTGTTTGAAAAATTGACTTGGAGTCTATTATCGACGAATTCAAGTCTTTAAAGAATCGTCGAACACAACTTAGATAAATATTTTATAATATTTGAATTCAAATATTTATCTAGATTATGTTATAAAAAAATTTGCTTAAGAAATTGTGTTATTAAATTTATGTTTAATTGTAGCCCACCCTACTGACAATTCCTGGATCCGCCCTTGACCATGATGACCATAATATAGCAAAATTTGAGGACCCTTTTGTGAAAGCAGACAAATTTGATATAGTAGGTTCTTGCAATGGCTTTATTTGTTTGATATCTTTGGGTGTTAATAAAGTGCTCATGTTGTTAAACCCATCCACCAAAAAAAAAACCAAATTTTACCTCCTATGCCACCACCTTCTTCAGAAATTTGTGACACAGTTCATGGATTTGGGTATGATCCCGTCAATGACGATTACAAGATTGTAAATGTGGCCACTTTGTTTGATGATCAGGAAAACCCTTTGGGGCTCTGAAATAACAGTTTTTAGTTTGAAATCGAATGTATGGAGAAGGATTAATCATCGTTTCTCTAATCTCCCTAGACCTTGTCGGCATGGTGTGTTTTTTAATGGTGCTTTGCATTGGGTGGCTACTCGCCAGCCCGAGTCACATGTGGATAATTATATTGCTGCATTTGATCTCGGGGTTGAGAACTTCCGGGAGGTGCAGCTCCCAGAAGATTTTTGGACGGTGACTTTGGGAGTTTCGGGTGGATGCTTGTGGCTGTTTGGTATTAATGTTGATGATGACGACCATCTGGAGTTATGGGTAATGAATAATTACATGATGCGGGAGATGTCGTGGACAAAACATTCTCTATCTTTCTTTTCACATGTGTATGAAGATCTTCATGTTTGCCAACTACGAATTCTAGGTTATTCAAAGGGTACCACCCAAGTTCTCCTCGTACAACTTAATTTCAATTTTTTTTGGTTAGACCTCAAACAGCAAACAGTCGCGGATCTTGGCTTTCGTTCACGGGGGTTTCGGCCACTTGCAGCAGAGATTTACATCGCCAGCCTCGTTAAGGTTCCCTGTGATCAAGGAACTAATATTCTGTAGTTAATACTGTAGGTTTTTTTATTTTTTATTTATTTATTTATTTTTTTAAGTTTAAAAATAATTGTTTGGAAGATATATACTTCCATCAGATTAGTAATTGTGATTTCATGATCAAACTTTTGTTTGTGTAACTAGCTTGTTAAGGGTGAGCATAACTATAATTTATGCTGATTGTTATCTAAAAGGCAACATAGGACGTTTTTCTGGGTCGTCTCAAAAAGGAAGTTAACGTACATATTAATTATGTTTCCTTCAATGTATTAATTACGTACAAAATAAATATAATGGATCAATACAGGTAATTTTCTTAAAATTGGAAAAGTTTTACGGAGTAATTTTTAAATTATCTTGCATATTAATAACTATTCAACATTATACTATTTCTTTTGAACTCTCGCAACTTTATATTTATTTTGAACTCTCTCACACACATCAATTGCCTACGAAACAAAACACTATCTCTATTACATGCCTATAATTATATTTCTTTTCAATCCTCACACATTAATTGCCTACAAAAATTAAATTACTATTTCTAAAATTAAAATCCAAATAATGTTTTAAGTTTCCTTGAATAAAAATTATTAATATTATATTCATATATTAAACATAAGAAAGCCTAATTTTTGAAGTTTGCTTTAGGCCTCAAATAATATCAAGAGGCTCCTGATTGTATCCTATTAATCTAATTTAAAATATGTACATTGATTTTTTTTTTCTTTTTTCTTTCTAGTTGGTACTCACACACACATGTCTCCACCGAGGTTCGAATGCATTTTCTCACTTTAAAGTAAAAATCTGGTATCGATAGACCACTAACCCGTTGATTCTTATTGATTGTATTAACCATGTCAACATAATGACTAGGTGAACTTAACTTAGAACATGAAATAATTTCTCACATATACCTCAAATACGCATGTAGGTTGCCTAAAAAAAAAAAAATTATGGGTGTAGGTTGAAAGATTGCATGTACACCTATTGTTTGTTCCATTACACATTTTAGATCATGAGCACAACAAAGTGTTAATTCAAGATGTTGCACTAAACCTGTTTAACAACAAACATGAAACTAAACCCCAAGGTTTAGCCTAGTTGAAAAAGACTTGGACATTAGAGCCTCATGAAGTTTTATGTCTCAAGTTTGATTCCTCCTGTTTGAAAGATAAAAAATAAAATTTAAGACAAACTATTATTAGGTTCTACTTTTCTCTTTGACAGATAAATAAGTCCTATCAATTTTAAGCCTCACTTTTATTTATTTTTTCCCCTTTTAAGTTCTAAATCATTTAATTATCTCTTTACCCAATTACATAAAAAAAAAAAAAAAAAACCTGAATAAAAATAAATACTAATATATATATATATTTATTATTATATATTTTTTTTGTTAAAAGGTAAGCTTGTGTATAGAGTAAAAAGAATGTACATGGGGCCCAATAAGAGAGAAAACAAAAGAGAAACAAACAGACTAAAACTTGTACATAGTACAGAGAAAATCAAACTGACAGCACTAATTTGCAATGTATTCTAATTTGCACAGAACCACAAGAACAAACTTGGACACCAAAATCTGCAACTGAAAGCCATTAATCATCCACCTCTGACTTTACTAAGTTCATTCCATCCACAAGAGCTGTGTGTGCAACCATTCAATTTTTGTGTTACTATAGCAGTAGGGCTTGTCCAGTTGCTGTGGAGCATCCCAGTTGGAAGAGGGTTTGAAGTTAAGTGAGGGAAGAGATCTTTCTGAGGTCAGAGCTTGTTTTGAGTTTGGTTGTTGCTAATCTGTCCCTTACATAGCTTTTGATTTGTGCAATGATACTGAGGGTTGAAGTTGATTGATTTCTAAAAGCTCTTGCGTTTCTTTCCATCCAAATAAAGTAAACTGCAGCAGCCCACAACAACTTATGCACCAGAAATTCAGCTGATACCCACTGATTGAGAAAAATTGTTATTTCTTGGCCTAGGGGTAGGGCAGTGATTGACATGTGTAGATTTTTTGGATTTTAGACATTTTTCTACACTTCGAATACTTAATTTAAAATTATATAATAATAAGTAATGTCGAAACACTCTCAAATGTATGAGATTTCATTATGAGATGCAAATTCAAAATATCAAGGTATGAGATCGAAAAAGAATATTTCAAAATAAATTTGTAATTTTTGAAAAATGAAATTAATAAAACTGTTACTAAATAACTTTGATTAAGCGATGTGATAAATTTCAAGAAAAAGAAATCTTCTACCATAAATCTATATAAATAATTTTTTTTTTCTTTTGTAAGAATTTTCCTCCAATAAATGAATTACTTCACCCTTCCAATTACAATTTAGAAAGATGAAGAAAAATATGGCACTAAAAACCAAACAACTTGTTGAAATATAAGAAAACATTGATATATCCTTGTTAAAAAAGTAAATAGAGGTTGCCCCCGGGGGCCTAGCAGTGATGGTAAGGTATTCGCCTTGGGTAATCACTCATCCGGTATTGTGGCTATGGGACTGGGCTGCAGTATCCCCAGTTTAGTGCCTTAGGGTAGGGTCCGACGGGTCTTGTCTTGGGGAGTTCTGGGTTATCAAAAAAAAAAAAAAAAAAAGGTTCACATTCTCCAAATTACCATTATTTGGCAAATAGAAAGAATCCTCCTTCTATTTTGTTTATACATAAAATTTGGAATAAAATAATAAAAGAAATACTCTCATGGGTACAATTTATACCAGAATCTGACATGGACCACTAACAACACTAAACATGTCAAAAACTTTTTAAAAAATAAACATGAATCAGTCGGGTATTCTTGCGGGTGATCCAAAAAGAAATAATAATAATAATTTTTTTTTTTTTTTTTTTTTTTTTTTTTTTTTTTTTCTAACCTTGCGCTCTAACTTTCAGAGGCAAACACGATCTGCTGACTTATAGTGACGTTGTTGGCAGCGGTGTTGATTGGGTGCTTTGCCGTCGATTTCACATTTTATCGATCGCTTGACCAACAGATCCTTTACCTGAAGATGACGACCTCAATTGACGCCAAGCTAGAGTTACTTCACGCCAGATTTCAGATTGGTTTTTTGAACAAAACTGTCGGATTCTCACTTTCCGGTGCCTGTGCAGTTTCCCAATTAAGAGGTAGTGAAATTGGGCTATTTGTATTTTTTGTTTCTACAATTTCCTTGGAGAAGGTTTCCCAAATCTTTGTACCCTCCAAATGCACATCACCGATTTGATGTCCGCCACAAAGATTGGTGATTGGAGGGGTTTGGGTGATCTGAGTGGTTGTGGTGTCTTTTTTGTTTTCTGATATGTGTGGATGATCCTGTTTCTTGATGGGTTTGAGTTTTTGGAGTGATTTGTGAAGTGGGTTTGCTGAAATTGGGATTTTTTAAGCATTAAAAATAGTACCAACGTGAATGAGCAAAGAGTTACCAAATTTTTGGACCTTGTTGTGATTGATTTAAAGGTTGTTCAACAAATCTAAATGTTTGAGTGAGTGAAGAACTGTCAGAAGCATTGATTTGCCAGAAATATTGCAGCTTGAAATGTCAATGTATTGAAGTTTGGTAGTATTTTGAGATTGTTATGAGGTCAGTCAAGAATAGAGGTCTCGAAAACCAGAGAGATGAGCCAAGTTAGGGAACCCGTTGGAGGAAAGATTGTGGACTTGAATCGATTCTTTTTGGATCACCCGTAAAAAGACCCGATTGATTCCTATTTATTTTATAAATTTTTTTTTTGACATGTGCGGTGTTATTAGTGGTCCATATCAGCATAAGTAGGCAATTCCTACTTATATGGCCTGAGACAAGCATTGTTCACTCCTCCCTGCCCTTCCCCACTTTGAAGAGTCCCTATTTATGTAGTGCAGAAGACAAAAGTTAGGAGGGAAAAAAAAATTAAAAATTAAATTACACGAGGGAAAATGGAAAAAATAAAAAAATTATTTAAATCTTGCTGATTTTAATTTGAATTGATATTTGTTGTTGATTTGATGGAGCGTGGATAAATAAAGTAAAACATTTGTGTTCTGCAATCAAGTCTTGAACACAAAACCTGTTAAAAAGTTGGTTATACACTAGATCATCTCTCCTACAGTGCTGCTAGTGTTTTTCTTTTTTTGGTTAAAGGATAAACTTGTATATAAAGATGAAAGAATGTACACTGTGTCCCAAATAGAGAAAAAAGAAAACTTCAAGCAGCTAGTGTTTTTCTTCATCCTCTCTATAGTCATAAATTCTTACATTTTATTATTATTATTATTATTATTATTATTTTTATCTCATTACAAAATTGAAAACATGGATAAGAATACTTAACTAATATATATGAAAGATTAATTAAATATTTATTTTTGAGAATAGCAAGTTTTGTGTCAGGTGATTAAGGACTTTGCTGTGAGGAAATTAAGGGATAGTCTTTTGTGAATTCTTTAAGAGTTCAAACCGCCCACTCTTATAATTATCAAAATTTGTGTATAGAAAATACAAATAACAGAAAATTTTATATCAAAGGAGGAGTTTTCTTTTATTATTTATTTTTTTTCTTCTGAATTTTGATTATTGGACAAGGGTCTTTACTGAATTTCAAAAATTTTATTGGACAAATGATTTGAAAAATGAGGAATCTTTTGACATTTGCAAGTTTTTATTAAAGTCTTTAATGAATATAATTAAAAATTCAATCCATTTAAATTATACCAATTGTTCTCTCTTAGCCTAATTAATTTTCAGTTTTGTAGTGCAAGATTTGTTAATGCCTAATGGTGACACCCTTATAATTTATTATGTTACACTAATTGTTCTCTCAAAGGAGGAACGTTAATTTTTTTGTACTAATCGTAGGAAGTTTTTATAGTTCCAGTTGTCTCCTTTCAGTCCTCCATATACATACATACACACATACTGACATAGATGGATAAAATTTTGATTATAGGTATACATGTACACTAATTTCTTATTTATCCTATTAGCCATGTCAACATGATGACCAGGTGGACTTGG